AATGGTATGAGGCTCATGTAACTAGTTTGAAAACACTAAACAATTAAAACAATCATGTATTAATCTTTAAGAGAGCGTTGTTAGTTGATTTCTGTTTTAGGTAACAAGTTAAGGAGAATACCATACAAATGTGACGGACATTCAATACAATGTATTATATTCATACAGTGTTCTAAAGAAAAATATGTCTATCCAGATGAAAGGATCTGTATTCTTCTATAAGTCAAAATGGAGAAAAGAGGAAAAGAAATTTAAAATTTGAGGAAAAACACAACTTGGTGCATGCCTTTAATCCCAGCACTTGGGAGGCAGAAGAAGGTAGATCTTTGTGAGCTCAAGGCCAGCCCGGTCTACATAGTGAGTTCCAGGACAGCTGGGGCTACAGGGAGACCCTGTCTCAAAAAGACGAAAGAGAAAAAAAAAAAAGAAGGAAAAAAAAAGTAGTATGTGAAAGAAAATTTCTGATTTCCCCATCCCCTGCCACAACCCCAGAAGCACAAATTTGAACAACTACACAGGCCCGTAGACACAAAAAATTGACTACATTTTTCTAACAGTTAAGAAATGCAGATGATGCTGGGCAGTGGTGCACACCTTTAATCTCAGCACTTGCATTTGGAAGGAGAGGTAGTCAGATCTCTGGTAGTTCAAGGCAGCCTGGTCCACCTAGTGTGTTTCAGGACAGCTGGGGCTCCAAGGAGACCCTCTGTCAAGAAAGAAAAGAGAATCAGAAACACAGCATGCTACTAAACACGCCTTCCTTGAATCACAAGTCAACACATCAAGGAGAGAAAGATGGACTTGCGTGGACGAGGGAATGTGGAAAGAATTCTAGAGTTTGCTGTGATCCACAGTATTCATTCCCTCTCAAGAGGAGTCCAGATCTAGGGCAATCTGTGGACCCAGGTCTTGGGCTGTTCCTAAATTCCATTGCCTCCAGATCAACACACACAGACTAGTTTCTAGGATAGGTACTACGGACCTAGGTTTGATCAGCTACCAGGGAACCCTGTTCAGCCAGTCATAGGATCAGGTTGGGTCCAGCCTCTGGGATCCTGTATGTGATACTTCTTTCCAGTGGATGCGGAGTCCAGACTGCTCCTTGCTGTTCCCACCTCACATCCATGCTTAGTAGAGTATGTTTTTCAAAAGGTGGCAAATGTGCCCTATCTGATATGAAGGTAAATTATTATGGCCATTACAGAAAACACTATGAAAATTCCTCCAAACCTTACAAATTATATCTACCACGTAACCCAACAATACCATTTCTGAGTATACTCCCAGAACAGCTGAAATCACTCCCACATCCACACCCACATGTGCACTTTTCTCTCTTAAGGCCAACACAGCTCAATTTTATCCCCAAGTTGGAACAGGTAGTTGTTTCTTCAGCCAAGCCCCAGATGTAGTAGTTGGCTGCATTTTAGCAATTCCGCGGTATAAAAATACATGCCTTTAAACACTAGAATCACACATATAATCACATCCATCTGTACAGATAGGCTCAGAGACTCGTACACACACATATTCATCTTAATATATGTACACACATGAACACACAGGCATATATACATGCATGATGGAATACCTTTAGAAAGAAGGAAATCATGGTATTTGTGGTATCATGGTAAGCATGAAGCAGTGATGACAAATGTCACATGTCCTCACTTGTATGTGTATCTGAAAATGCTGAACACATCAAAGCACACATGTAGAACTGTAGATCTGTTTGCCAGAAAGGCAGGGGTTGAGGAGGAAACAGGGAGCAAAGAGATATTGCTCACCAGAAGCTTCTGCTCCACACAGATGCACCGAGTTGTGTGCACTGTGATGACTGTGATGGATGCCACTGGACTGCAGGACCAGATATTGCTGAGAGGATATAGCCCAGGAATTCCTCATTCCTCAGAAAAGAGTGGGCCATGTGGGGCACCCTGGGAAAAGGGGTGGAGCCGTGGCCATACTGGAACCAAGGGAGTGATGTGGCCCGTTGGGGGAGCTGACGAAAGGCGGGGCTTCTTGCGGATGGGTGGGGTTTGAATGGCAGGTGGGTTATGAGAAGCCATTTCTTTGTAAGTCACCCCCTCCCAAATGTCATATAAATTATGCAAAATTCAAATAGGATGTCTTAATTCATGTTGTTAATCTGCATCAAGACCAGGAGACCCTAAAGTCATCAGAGGGCACGCCCTACGGTCTCCCAGGGAAGGAAGAGGAAAAAATTTAGTGAAACGGGGTAGATCTTCAATATTCTCTCCACAAAATAAGGTGAGGTGATCCGTGTTGATATAAGTAACCATAAAATATATGCATATATAAGGCACCATGGCACATATTTTAGATACATGCATTTTGTCAAATTTAGCTTAATTAAGCTAGTGGTATATTTTGTCATTTATGATAGTCACTTATTTATTGTGTGTGTGCACCTATGTGTGTGCGTGTGTGTGTTAATGTGGTGGTTAGGTGACAACTTGAAGGACTCAGTTCTCTCCTTCTACTATGTGACTCCTTTGGCTCAAACTCAGGTTAACAGGCTTGGCAGCAAGAGCTTTACCTGCTGAGCCATCTCATCTGCCCATTGTGGAAAATTTGGAGATGGAAAGATGGCTCAGTGATTAAGAGCACTTGCTGTTTTTCCAGAGGACCTGAACTTGGTTCCTGGCAACTATGTCAGATAGCTCACAACCTTCTGTAACTCCACTTTTAGGGAATACAACATCCTCTTCTAGCCTCTGCGTGCACACACACACACACACACACACACACACATGCACACATGTCAATAATTAAAGAAAAAAGTTCTGTTTCTTGCTCACAATCCCCTCAAATTCCAGCTCCAGGGGAATCCTATGCCAGCTTCTGGCCTGTGCAGACTCCCACTCACATATGGCAGACACATAAATAAATAAAAATAAAAATAAATCTTGGGGCTGGAGAGTTGGCACAGTGTTTAGTCAGTGGTTAAGAGCACCGACTGCTCTTGCAGAGGACCTGGGTTCAATTCACAGCACCCACATGGTGGTTAAGAACCATCTGTAGCTCCATTTCCAGGGTATTGTATGCCTCCTCTGTCCTCCGCAGGCATTGCACGACACAGGTGCACTTACACACATGCAGGCAATACACTCATATACATAAAATAAAAATAATAAAATTTACAAAAGAAGTTTCTTAAAAAAAAAATAAAGCTCCAAAATTTCACTTGCAGAGGACCTGGGTTCAGTTCCCTGCACCCATGATATATTCTCTATATTTATGCATATACGAAGTAGCAAGTTTATATGAACAAGAAAGGTTCACTTAAAACAATAAGATTTCCATATTGTAAAATGGCTGAAAATGCTAGCTGTGCTTTCTTTTAAATATTTTTAATTCATGTCCTGCATTTTAGTTACTAAAGCTTCTTTTAGACACAGTACTTGGCTCTTTGTTTCCTGGCAGTAAGCTAAGAGCACAGCAACACACCTCATTCTCTTGCCTTGCCTGGCAGCAGGTAAGGAGGGGTCAACACAGGAGAAAGACACAGCGGACAGAGGCCGGGTGACTACAAGCCATGGAGGAAGCTGAGCGGACATTTGGGTGTGAGATCATTTTATAATACAAGAAATCGTGTTTGAATGAATTGGACTTAAACACTAAATTCCAAAATTCTATAGCTGAAGTTAGACTAAACCATAAAATTCTGCAGTGCCTGCATGTTATTTTATGATGAATTTCCCTTTAGTCATCAGTCCACTACAGCTGACAAGGCTGGCATTGAAACATGTGAATGACGCAGTTCATGTACTGTAGGTAGAGACAGTTGAGTATAAGAATGAGACCAAGATGCTTCATTTTATGTGGAATTTCATTGTTTGGAAAATATATTTGAATGACGCAGTTCATGTACTGTAGGTAGAGACAGTTGAGTATAAGAATGATACCAAGATGCTTCATTTTATGTGGAATTTCATTGTTTGGAAAATATATCCCCTGAATTCCATAATGTTCTTATTATACAAGCTATTCCTTTGTCCTGCTTCCACAAAATAACATTTCCCATACTGCATCTTCATCACATTCTTACCAATGAACATTCAAGTTATTGTTTTAAAGAGCCTTTGGCTTCCAGTTATTTTTGTAGCCTAGTTTTTAAACTACCTCACCTAGTGTGTATATCTCCTCGTGTAAAAGGTACCGTAAACATTCAATTCAAATCCTTAAAGACAACTTAAAATGACTTTTGCTTAGCAATTCCTATATCAGAAAATTTAACCAATAGCAAACTTTCATAATGTAAGCCTCCTATTTCATTAAAAACATGTACATAAGAATGCATCTGCTATGTACTTCAGATGTGATTATTATAATACACAAAATGATATTCTTCATAATGATAAGGAAATATGAAAAACATACTCCTGATACTTCTTTGTAATGAAGAAAAATCTATCAGATATTTATTTATTTTTATTTTTTTGGTCTTTTTGAGACAGGGTCTCCCTGTAGCCCCAGCTGTCCTGGAACTCACTATGTAGACCAAGCTGGCCTTGAACTTACAGAGATCTGCTTGTCTCTGCCTCCCAAGTGCTGGGATTAAAGGCATGCACCACTACATACAGCACAAAATCATTATGTAAGTAAGAAATAGAAGATGCATTATAAAGATTTTAAATTTATAATGTCATATTTACATAGGAATTAAAAACAGGTCTTTCAGCAACATATGCAATGAACCTCATGTCAAAGTGAATGGGTTTGCATTTATTACAAATATGATCTGGGGAAGAAACATTGCTGACTTTCTACCTGAATTTCACACGACTGTGTTCAACAAAATTTGTATTAGGCAGACGATGGTTTATTTATATATTTACTATAATACTGTGTGACTCTTTAAGAACACATAAAGTGTAAGTCTCACTAGTTGAGTGGAAAGGTGATTGGACAGTGAATGAACTGGAGAACTCTGGGGAAAAGTCTCACCATCACACAGATAACAACACAGTACTTGGCTACTCCCGCCCCATCAGCCTCCTCACTGCCCCTCTGACATCTTTGTTCCTCAGGGTGTAGATGAGAGGGTTGAGGCTGGGTGTGACAACAGTGTAGAAGAGGGCAATGAACTTGCCTCGGTCTTGAGAATTTTCTGTTGGAGGCTGAAGATAAATGCACATGGCTGGAAGGAAAAACAGACACACAACCATGAGATGGGCTCCACATGTCCCAAAGGCCTTCTGAAGTCCTGTGGTGGATTGCATCCTCACAACAGCCTGAGCGATGGCTCCATAGGAAGTGAAAATGAGGATGAGAGGAATGAGAACAAAAATTGAGCTTGTGACCATCAGAATCATCTTATTAACACGAGTGTCAGCACAGGATATTTGGAGCAGTGCAGGGACTTCACAGAAGAAATGATGCAATCGTCGATGTCCACACAGGGGCACCCAGAAAGTAAGGAAGGAATGAAGTGCAGAGTCAGTAAAACCACTTACCCAGGAGGCTGCAGCCAGCAGGTGACTGAAGCGAGGATTCATGAGGACAGGGTAATGCAAGGGTTTGCAGACAGCTACATAGCGGTCATAGGACATCACCACCAACAGAATGCACTCCGTGGTCCCCAGTGCCAAGACAAAGTAGAGTTGGAGCATGCAACCAGTATATGAAATGGTCTTCTCTGGACCCCAGAGATTGACCAGCAGCTGAGGGACAGAGCTAGTGGTATAGCAGAGATCGAGGGCTGAGAGATTTGAGAGGAAGAAGTACATGGGGGTGTGCAGGTGGGAGTCCAGGCGTGACAGGACAATGATGAACAGGTTTCCTGTTAGTGTTAACAAGTAAAATATCAGGATCACCACAAAGAGAACCACTTCCAGGTGAGGCCATTTAGAAAAGCCCAGAAGAATGAAGGCGTCTTCAGAGCTGGCATTGGACTTTTCCATCTTTTACTTTATCTTTTGTTTTATTTTCAATTTTAGAAAAACCTCGAATTTTAAGAGAAAGAGTTGCAGTTATTGATTGAGGAATAAAAAGAGCCATCAGCTCATATAGGTTAAAAGAATATTAATAAGTAAAGAAAAATATTCCATTTACTCAAAGCCTAAGTGTTAAGTATAAAATGAATGATTGTTTGACTGGCATGGATGCATACAGAAGAATTTGATGTATTTACACAGGACTAAGCTTCTTACCTTGTCTAAACTATGTCTTTCCTAATTTCTTGTTGATTACAATGTGAAAATTAGTAAACTTTATAGTGTGAAAATCTTTTGGCTGCCTCCATAACCACGTGAGGTATGTGACCTTCACTAGTGTTGAGGTGAACTGATACTCTATGACTTCTGATGAGATGCTTTGAAGAGAATATCATATCACTGTACAAATGCTACTGTGCCAAGAGGACACAACTGAATGTCATCAGGAAGAAACACAAGAAGGACTCAAATAAACATAAAACAGTTTGTTCGCACTCTACAAAAATGTCACTCACTATAGCAGTTATGACCGCAACACTGATTAAAGACACTGGAAAAGCTGGTATCCACATGATGCCACACTTGACAGAAATCGCTAGTGTAAATTGTTTAGAGAATTGTAGAAATTTGAATACAGACATTGATACTTGTGCCCATTCTGAATTGTTTGTTTTTATTAACTATACAGAGGTTATGTAAATAATTGTCCTGGAACATCGAGGAATCCAGTGGTAGACAAATGAAGTCTACCCAACTGATGTTCTAATGGTTCAGAAACATGATAGATAGTGGATACACAGACGACAGATGATAGATTGATGATAGAGTAAAGATAGATGATAAGTGATAGACACATAGATGATGATGATAGATGATAGATAAATAGCTAAATAGATAATAACTGATAGACACGCAGTTGACAGATGGTAGATAGAGATGAGATAGATATATAAAGTTATACATGATTGGTAGAAGATAGATGAGTGATAGGTCATGTTGATGACGTTAGATTTTGGATGGATAGATGATATATATGTGGAACATCAAATCTTTTCAGGAAAAATATACATAATGGTTCAGGTCAGATAATGGATAAATGGATCTGATTTATAATTTTTGTAATTGTTTTAAGTTTGAATTTTTACATAATAAAATATTACAAAAAGAATTTGGAATAATTTTACTTTAGATATTTGCAATGCTACAGAAAAACTAAGTTCTCAAGATTAGAGTCTTTCTCATTCACCCCAGGGCAAAAGCTGAGTATGTGGTAGCTGAATAAATGTCTAAGCTAGGGAGGGAAGATGAATTCCACTAAGCAAATCATTTTTGTTAGTATGTAAAGCACTTAAATTTTGTCTTCAAATTGTTTCTATTTAGGTGATGGCAGAAAGCATATTTACAATTCTAATAATTTTATACCCAGTCTATTTATAAGTGAGAAATACAATATAAATAGAAATATGAACAAAAAGACTCACAGATACATGCACATTAACTTATAAGCACTAATAAAATATGAAGTTAGTAAAGCCAGGGGTCTGGCAAAAGCGTGCTGGAAAGCATGCGAGGAACGAAGCATGTGTTTACAGAGAGAACTCTGGGAAAGTACAGGCCAGTAAGAACACCCAGGAGGAAGGAAGGCATGAGGGGTGCACAAGTGGGATGGACCTGCTGAGTCTATGTGGGAGCTCAGAGCCCAGGTTACAGGCTGACCTGCTAAATGCACTGCCTGAAGAAACCTTTGCTGCAGTCTGGCCTTCCTCTAGAAATTTAATTAACATGCTCTTTAAATTCTAAGCACAGATTTTAATCACTGCCTTTGTTTGCTTTCCTTTAAAGAAATATCATAAATATTTCTTACATGTCTCCTTTTTCATTAAAATGTTGCACAACTGAATCTTACAGATTAAAAAAATCACACACAATTCATCAACAACTATGATTCTTAGATGACCCTGTTTCTTCTGTGAATTTTAAATATTTTCATTGAAAATTTTTGTTACATAGTTAGTTTGACCTACCTATTAAATATCCTCTTGTATCCTTGAATCTCTCCCTCCCACAACATTAAGCTATGGGAAAAGATAAAATCATAATGGACACACTTGTGGTTTCTGCTTTCAGGCTTTCTTAATTGCTCATGCTCTGTAAGTGCAACTCTTACAAAGAGATGTCAGAGCAGACAATTGGCTGAGCTTCGTCAAGAAAATCAGGAAAGTCAGTATGTTTTCAGGGCCTCCCAGCTGATTCAGACCTCTTAAGTCTGTTATGTGTCAACGCAATTAGTCAATAGCAGTCAGCACACTGAACTAGACCACTCAATACAATTCAGAGATCAGTCCAGGGAAATCGTTAATGTAGTCTTCCAAAATAATATCCTTAAAAGGCATAGCTGAATTCAAAGGCAGAATTCATGTAACAGTACATTTTAAAATATTATGTTTAGTGGCTGGAGAGATGGCTCAGTGGTTAAGAGTACTGGCTATACTTGCAGATAACCTGGGTTTGGTTCCTAGCACCTACATGGCAGCTAAGAACCATCTATAACTCCAGTCCCATGAGATCTGACACCTTCTTCTGACCTCTTCAGGCATTCCATGACAAGGGTACACTTACACACATGTAGGCAATATACTCACACACATAAAAAATAATAAAATGTTTTTTAATATCTACTCAGTTTAGAGATGATTGCCATTTGATGAAAGATGGAAATCTTCCAAGAGATTTAGAAGTTTTTCCTTAGATAGGAAACAGCATGGCAAGTTTGGGCACAAGTGCTGTAACTGCTTCCTCTGATACACATGTATTATAATTTCCTTCTATCTTATACATTGCCTTCATGATCTAGTACCTTAAGTAAACAAAACAAAATGGTGTTTATGAGTTATCGTTATCTGTTTATACATTCTTACAAGGACAGGTTTGTAACTGATTTGAGAAACAAGCAAACAAATATGAAATGCATGTAGGGAAAGAGTAGAAATTTCTGCTTTAATTTCTTCTTACTGGAGGAGTGGGAAATGAACTAAATTATTTTCTCACAGTATAGAAGCCAGTGTTGTTGAGAAAAGAGATGCACCAGTTCCCATGCCCAGCACTGGCTGACAGTCTGTGATCCTGACTCATACTCTTACCTAAAGCTCAAGCAGTGCTTAAACCCGGTTTCACTGCTATGCTGAGTCTGTCCACATTCCCCTTGTGCTTTTTCCCTCTCCATCAGACACCTGTGTGGATGATCTGACATCTGGTGTTGGTGTCCTTGACCGCACCAGCACAAACAGTGCCTGCACCTGACTCTAACCCACCACATCAGGCTGGGAGATCAAGGTCTGAAAGCCCTGTGATGTCACCACTACAGAAGAAAGAGTGCTGAGGCAATAAATATTTGTATATGGGAAGAAAATTATTTGGCTAGATCATTGTGAATGTAAATCCCTAAGAGTCAATTAATGCCCTCAGGAACCTGTGCTGCTTACACCATTTTACAGGAATGTCCCCATGACAGCACCCCACTGCAGAACCAAGTTGACAAGGAAACTTTGACTCAACACCACTGAGGAAAAATATTCTTAGCGATATTTACAAGAAAGCAGATAGTCATGAGGTCTTTGAAATGCTCTCTGAGACCTCATTGTAGTAAGAGCTAACTTCAATAAAAACAACATCAGAATTTCTCATTAACCTAAATTTCAGATCCAAATGAAATTCAAAATACTTAACATTAAGATTTCATATTCTGTAACTTAATTCTAGTACTCACATGCAAGACTTAATATCAAGATAAATTCAATTAATTTATTATGAAAATACAGTTTGTAGCTATTTGTTGTTGAATTAATATTCTGAGAATTCAAAATAATTACTAGGGAAAAACAAGATGTCATCTGGACTTTTATGCCATTCTTCATATATTATTTAACCTCAGTAAATAATTAGAAGAAGAAAGTTCATATTTTCCAAATAAAAATAAGCTGCAACAAAAAATCATACTGAAAAATGTTATTCAAGATTTTTATCAGTTTTTCAGATGATAATAATCAATTTTAAAAACCAGTAGATTTCTGACATAGTGCCTGAAAATAAGTTTAAATTTATACATATACATATGTGGGTTCATAAACATATACACATTATATGCATATGCATGCACACATATATACACACATACACACAGAAACAAACACACAGACCCAGAAGATTCAGAAAATAATTATGGACAGACAAATTCTCAGAGTACCTAGAAACATAGAAATTCAAATTTTAGTGATTTGAAATTGAACTTTTACCAAGTTTGAGTTGCAAGCACAGTTGTGGAGAAAGGGTACAGCTGTTTTGAGTGCTTTCTGTAATTGTCCTGTCCATGACTATATGCATACAGGGTTGGTCTGCTGTATTTGTGGTTCCCACAACTGTGGATTGAGTAGAGGAATAAAATATTTGGAAAAGTATTGCATCTGTATTGAATGTAAATAGACATTTCCTCTTTTGGTATTCTAGTACATTGTAGTACAACAAGTACTTGCTGTGTGGACAGTATTTTAAGTTAACTAGTGGTTCTTCAAAGAATTCAGGGAACGCTGTACAGATTACATGAAAATACGAGGACATTTCTTTTTTCTTCTTTTGGTGCGGGTGTATTTACAGAAGAGTGGGCAACCCTGTATTTATGGCTGCTCTCTGGAATATCTACACTCAAATATAGATTTTGTGATGTCCCAACATCTGCACAAAATGGCAAGAGAGCTGCCTCATGGTGTTCTCAGCTTATATACCCTTATCCCCTCCCCCACATTCAGCTAAGGTCTACGGACTGGGTGGAAGGGGTAACTGACTTCACCATCAACTCCTTGACTAACTTGGGAAGGAGATGGGACTATAGCTTTCCAGAAAATTGGTCAGAGGACACTTCCAGTTAATACTCTACCCCTTCCTCCAACTTACATTTTTTTCTGCCATTCTCT